CTCTCGTCTTAGAACAGGGTAAACAAAATATTCTGAAAGTTCAGAGAATGTGCGCAGTTAATTGATCCGACTATATGTATAATCATGGTGGGACTGATAATAATCTCATTGCTCTCCATCTCGTTTTACAAGTTACTAGAATAAGGAAAATATTCAGAAAGTTGAGATAAACGGTCTTGAACATTCAGAACAGTTGGGAAGATAGTGCTTGGAATAGGGAAGTAAAAAAAATAAAAAAAAATGGAGATGCGGGGGATCGAACCCCGTGCCTCTCGCATGCAAAGCGAGCGCTCTACCATTTGAGCTACATCCCCTGATCGGTTGCTGATGCGAGTTTATTAATTATAGGATATTATGATCCAAAACATACACCTTTTGCTATTCTAAGGTCGCGTTCTAATAAGAGGTAATTGAACTTAGGCCGTGTTTAGTTCACACTGAAGTTTGAAAGTTTGGTTGAAATTGAAACTATGTGACTGAAAAGTTGTGTGTATAAAAGGTTTGATGTGATGGAAAGTTGGAAGTTTAGAAAAAAAACTTTGGAACTAAACAGGGCCCTAGCTACTTCTATATTTCTATTAACACGTATTTTAAAAAGCTACTTGTAACGCTCCGCTTTTCGTGAGTTGTTAAAAACTATTTCGGCAAAATCCTAATTGCGAAAATTTTCGTTCTTTGTGTGCGAGTCTAAGTTGTGCCAAGATCTCAATTCAAATCCCGTTGTTCCCTCTCATCGAAATCAAAATCCTCCGCCTCAAATCTCCTCTCCCAATTCAAGTCTCCGAAATCTAAATCCGAAAGTCAATCCCTTCCTTTGAATCCTCGCCAAACACATTTCCAAATCCCAAAATGTCCAAACCCCCGTTTTGTTTCCTTCCTTGACTCCACCCTATGTTCCCGAGAACAAATACCCAAGTATTCCTTTTGAATCTTTTCCTTGACTTCTCCTTGAATTCCCCTTGATACATCCCTAAACCCTCGAGTTCGAATATCAAATTTGAACTCGAATCCAAACCCTAAATCTCTCCAATCCTATCCAAATCAGTTCTCTCGGAAAAGGTCTAAATTGCGTCCCTCTTGGCTGTGGGCCGTTTCTCCCTTGCTCGGCCCATTCTCCCCTCTCGGCTGCTCCTCCTCCCCGCACGTGCGCTGCACGCGCCGAGAGAGAGAGGCATCGCCTCTCTTCTTTCTCTCTCGTTTTCTCGCTCCCTCTCTGTTCTCTCTCGCGCCGACACCGCTTCCCGCCGTCGTCGCCCAAAACCTCCACCGCCTTCGCCCTTTCCCGCGCGCGCCTCGCGAGGTGGCCGACCGGCCGGTCGCCGCCAACGCCACGCGCTGCCGCCTTGCCCCCGCTCCATGCCAAACCGACCGCCGCCGTCATCGTCGACGTCATCCATGGCCCCCGCCACTCCACGCCGCACCCGTCCAAGAGTGGGAGAAGCAGCTGCCCTCCCTCTCCTCCTCCTCCTCACTCTCCCTCCTCCTTTTCTCGTTTTGGCAAGGGACCAAGCCCCTTTCCCCCTTCCTTTTTTTTCTTTTGCCCGACACCGCCGGCGTCATCACCTGCCGCCGCCTTGGCTGCACGCGTCGACGACCGCCAGCTCGCCGCCCTTGCATCCTTGACCGCCCACGAGGTCGGTTTCCTCCCTCCCCAAACCGACATCCCCCGCGTCTATAAAAGCCCAGGCCGAGCCTCCCTATCTCTTTCTCTCTCGGCATCTCTCTTCCACCGCCGCCGCGCCTTTGTTGCCGCCTAGCAGCTGCCGACCCTCCCTTCGCCGTCGCGCGTGCTGGTGAAGCCAGCGTGTGCGCAAGGAGCCGAAGAGGACTCCGGCCACCCTTCTTCTTCCCCTTCCCTGGCCCAAGGCCGAAGAACTCGCCCCGCGCCGTCGACCGCCCATCACTGCCCGCCCGGCTCGGTAGTGCCTCCTCCCGTTTCCCTTCCTCGCTCTCCCTCGCCCCCCCTCTAGTCTGCGTGATAGCTCGGTGGCACTCCCGAACACGCGTAGACGCCGCCCCTAGACCCGCCGCCGCCCGGCATGGCCTCGCCGCCGTTGCCGCCCGCTCCCGGAGGCCGCCGCTCGTCGCCAGCCCTCCTTGGTGCTCTTCCGCCCCATCCGACGCCGGAAGCGGACTCCTTGAACCCCGGAGATGCTTCCACCGCCTCGAATTGAATCCTCGTCGCCCCTCCGCCGTTTGCCCTTTTTCTCACCGCCGGCGAGGGCCGCCGCGTTTCGTCGTCGCCGGTCTCCTTTCCGTGAATCCGAGCCGGTGGCGCACTTTATCTCCTCCGTCTCTTTAATCCGGTGTGCTCCCTCCCTCTCGAATCGTCGTGACAAGCTCCGGTGAACTCGGCCGCCGTCCGCCGTCCATCTCGGCCTCCCCTTCTTCCTCCTCCCGCCGGCCCGCGTGGCTGCCACGTAGGCGCCACGTCGGAGCCACATCGGCCGCGACCGGGTCAGCACGACCAGCCTGCCGCCTCCCCCTCCCTCGACCGGTGCGCGCGGTCCACGGAGAGCCCTATGGCTGCGCGTGGGCCCGCCGCCTCTCGGTCCATCCGGCGCACCGCCCGTGCGCCATCTTCAATAAACCCTAGCGCCACCCCCGCGTGAACCCATTCCCCCGTGAACCTTGCCGCCGACATGTGGGCCCCACCCGGGAGCCCGCGAGGTGCACCCGGTCCACCGGACCGCCCCCTCTCCCTCCCGCGCGCCCTAATGGGCCGCCTGCTTGCGCCCGCGTCGGCCCAATGGCTTGGCCGAGCCTCCTTCGACCCTTGGGCCGCGCCAATGCCACCGGAACAAGTCTAGTTTACATCCCTCCTTCAATTCTCTTTCCAGAAAGGGGTTTAATAAATTATTAAATCCTTTCTCCTTTGATTAGAAAATCCTTAAACCTTAGAAAATCCATATCTTCCCAACCGCTCATCCGATTGACTCCGCTCAACCTCCAGTAATTCCGTAAAATTGAGATCTATTTAATGGCACTAATAATTAGTCTAAATAGGATCTTTCTTTTGGTCTTTTGTTTAGGTTTTCGATTGTTTGCGTATAGTTGCGGTAATCGGAATTTCGTCGATCGCGGGTTCTCTCGAAGATTCGTGAAGCTTCGTGAAGACCTTAAGCAAGGCAAGTCACCCTTTGATCAATTGCTCCTATAATTGAAAAGTCATTATTATTTCGTTTGCAACTTGCATTATTAGAATCACACACTTAACTTGCTTGGCCTCGGTTTGCGTGCCAGACCGACGGACCTACCCAGTAGTCACACTAATTTCCGTAGGTCGTACTACCCTGATTCCTTGTCGCTCCACCCTTGTGGTACCTCGGTATTCGTGCTCTCTGAGCGCGTATACCAAATATCCCACATACACCGTTGCTTGTCGAAAACTTGGGAAATGGGTTTGTGAAGCCTTCAAAACCCGACATGTGGTGTCGGTGTGTTTGAAAATAAAATGAATTGTGAAAACTCGCGATGCGGGGGTTGTGCCTATGTGGCACTGTCCCGTATTCGCATATAAGGACCGATTCCTGTGGGAAACTCATCGAACATAATCAAGTGCAACCACAAGGTGGAATGGGACACCCTGGCTAAGTAACTAGACGGTTCAGGGAAACCTCGCATGCCAATAGTTGGGAACGCCGGGGCGGGGTCGGACAAACCGGGTTCCTGGTAAGGCAAGAACGAGAAGCTTGCTCACTTACCGATCAAGGTGGTTGGAGTTTGATTTGTGCACGCCTAAAAAGGCCTATGTTTATGAGAGAATTTGATCCTTCTATGTGGCATGAGGTAACCCTGGGTCGGCTGGGGAAAGGCTTTGTCGCGAACCTCTGACACCGGCCAGTGTCTGGAGTAAGTTCGTGTCTTGTGGGTAAAGTGTACCCCTCTGCAGAGGTTAACTAACTGTTCGAACAGCCGTGCCCACGGTCATGGGCGGATGTGAGGTGGTTCCCGTTGCGTAGATTTGTTTGCCTGTGCTTTGTGAAAAGTTGTTGTGGTGTGGGAATCGTAACCAGAATCAGCCTATGTGGCAGATGGATGACCTGAGTGGTCAGAAACGAATCTGTGTGATTCGGGATGTCTGCGGGCATCATAGACTAGGCTTCCCGAGTGGAAGCGGATTGTTGTGCTGCTGGGCAGCAGGACTCTGGGAGTCCGAGAAAATGAAAAAGGCTCTGGGAGCCGATTAATCAAGTGGAATGGCTCTGGGAGCCGAGAAGTAATGATCTGACCCGGGAGGTCGGTACATTGCTAAATGAGCTGTTGAAAAGCATCTCTTAAAGTCGAATCGAGACGCAAGTCTCTTTTCGCCCAAACATAGAAAGAAATAAATCACTTAGTGATTTCAAAATGATTTCAAACAAAAGATTTGCAAAACAACCTTGCCTCTCTTCCAAGCTAGCACCAAACACCTAAGTTCCCGTGACTTGCTGAGTACGAAAGTACTCACCCTTGCTCTATAAATATATATATAGTTCCTCCGCCCTGAAGAGAAGATAAGGAGAAGTGAAGATTAGGGTTTCGTCCTGGTTCCCAGCCGTCGCCTGTGGTGTTGGGTGTTAGACCGTTGGTTCCGCTGCTGCTGCTGCTGCTGTTGGTGTTTCCTCGTCCGCGTCGTCGGTTGTATTCTCGGGCTGTCTGAGCTGCAACCTAAGTTAAGGTAAATAAGTCCTCTATTTATTTTAAGGATTGCTATGATTCATATTTGTCACCGTGGGTACCAGCACTATGTCCTGGGACTGGTACCGAGATCGCGGTTTCGTAGGAAGCGGTTCGCGCCGTTTTCCCTACGACACGCTCCTGTCAGGTGCCGTTGTACGGCGGTATCAGATTGGGGTGTGACACTACTCCAAATTATACGTTTTGCATGAAAATTTTCTATATAGATAATTGTTACGTCTCCGAAGAATTTGTGCCACAACAAGGGAAGAAATTGAGGATTTAGGGAGAGAATTGAGAGTTTGGGGAAGAACAGCTAAGAACAGGTAGAGGCAGCAATAGAACAGGGAGAGATTTGAATTGATTTCCAAATATTTGTTTCTACAATGTTCGATTCGTTCTCTTCCCTGCCGGTCTCTTATAGCGATGAGCTATGGACCTCTCTCCCTCACTGTGGCCCAGCCCAATTCTACTAGGTCCACACACTCGGTTGGTACAAGCTGTTGGGCCGCTTTTCACGTGTCGATCGCCGCAACAAGGGTTGCTTTGAATCTTGTCTCCCGCCTTGCTCTTCGCCTTCCTGAGATGGTCCTGAAGTAGTGCATGCCATGACATTCCCCCTTCCTTGAAACGAAGCTTGTTCCCAAGCTTTTGTCTGAGGAAAACGTTGTTGTAGTTCTTGTAGATTTTCCCATGTCACCACAGCAGAGTCTGGACCTGACCATCGGATTAGAACCTGCTCCACCATCTTAGCACCTTTATGCACAGATCGACGATCTATCACCTGCTGAGGAACAGGAGTAACAGCATCTGCATCATCCAGGATTGGCAATTTGGAATGAACTTGATCTGATGGAGCTACTGCCTTATTGAGTTGTGAGACATGAATCACCGGATGAATAAGACAGGAAGGGGGTAGATCAAGACGGTAGGCCACTGATCCCACCTTAGCAAGCACCTGGAATGGTCCATAGAAACGAAATGACAACTTCCTATTGGTGCAAGTGACCACAGACTGCTGCACAAAAGGTTGGAGTTTCATATATACCCAGTCACCAACAGCAAACGAACGCTCGGAATGCTTGGTATCCGCCTGATGCTTCATGCGCATTTGTGCTCTTAGTAAATGCTCACGAATAAGAGTCTGCATCTTGTCTCTCTCATGAAGCCAATCTGATAATTCCGGTGCAGAACATGCAGCAGAGGCCGTCAACCCAAAATAACGAGGTTTATGACCATAAAGAACTTCAAATGGAGTAGTACCCAGCGAAGAGTGGAAAGATGTATTATACCAATATTCCGCGAGGGCTAACCAACGGCTCCATTGTGAAGGACTAGCATGCACAAAGCATCTCAAAAAGGTTTTGAGACACTGATTCATCCTTTCAGTTTGCCTATCGGATTGTGGATGGTAAGAGGAACTCATTCTCAACTGAGTGCCTGCAAGTCTGAACAAAGTAGTCCACAGGTTACTAGTGAAGATACGGTCCTGATCAGAGATGATAGCCTCAGGCAATCCATGTAATCGATGAATGTGTTGCATATATGCCTCAGCAACCTCCAAAGTTGTAAATGGGTGTGCCAAAGCCACAAAGTGTGCATACTTCGAGAATTTATCCACCACTACCAAGATGCAATTAAAGGTAGAAGACCGAGGCAAACCTTCAATGAAGTCTAAAGAGACAATTTGCCAAGATTGCTCTGGAACCGGTAATGGCTGCAACATCCCAGGATACTTCACATGCTCTCCTTTGGCCTGTTGACATATGGTACAATGTTGAATGAACTTCACTACATCAGATCGCAGACCAATCCAAGCAAATAACTGTTTAATCCTTTGATAAGTCATAGTAATGCCAGAATGTCCCCCAATGGCAGCTGTATGCAAGTTTGCTAAAATCTTTCGCTGGACAATAGGATTATTTCCTATCCACATTTTATCCTTAAAATAGAGAAGACCATTTTTCAAAGTGAAATCTGGGATTGCAGAATTATTGATACATAAGGTTTGAACCTTACTAAGAGAGTCAGAGTCCTGGGCATAGCCTTCAATCACTTCTTGAGTCCATTCTGGAATACAAACTGAGAGAGCTGACAGCACCACAGTTTCTTTATCAGGATACCGAGACAAGGCATCAGCTGCACTATTTTCAGAACCTTTCTTATAGAGAATTTTGTACTGAAGACCAAGCAGTTTGGTGAGTGCTTTGTGTTGCCAAGGTGTAGTGAGACGCTGTTCATCTAAGAAAGCCAAGCTGCGGTGGTCAGTACGAATTGAAAACTCGGCATGTTGCAAGTACGGTCTCCAATGATCGATTGCTAGCATAATTGCCAAACTTTCCTTCTCATAAGTGGACAATCCCAAATGTCGAGGACCCAACGCCTTACTAAGGAAAGCCACAGGATGATTTCTTTGCATTAAAACTGCACCTATTCCCTTATCCGATGCATCAGTTTCAACCACAAAAGGAATAGAGAAATCTGGCAGTGCAAGGACCGGTGCCGACACAAGTGTGTGCTTAAGGGTGAGGAAAGCTTCATTAGTCATTGAGGTCCAAGCAAACAACTGACCTTTACGCAAAAGATTAGTAAGAGGCTTACTGATGATGCCGAAATTCTTGACAAATTTGCGGTAGTACCCTGCCAAGCCCAGAAAACTGCGCAACTCCTTGACCGATTGCGGTGTAGGCCAATCTCTAACTGCTGCAATTTTGTCAGTTTCTGTGGCCACTCCATTTGGACCAATGCTATGCCCCAAGTACGATAACTTTTGTTGGGCAAATGAGCATTTACTCTGTTTAACCTTCAAACCATGTTTGTTCAGAATCTGAAAAACTGCCCGAAGATGATGGATATGATCTTCTAGAGTTCTGCTGTAGATCAATATGTCATCGACAAAAACCAACACACAACGTCGAAGTAATGTTGACAGGATGCTATTCATTATTCCCTGAAATGTTGCTGGTGCACTGGTCAGTCCGAACGGTAGCACTCTAAACTCGAAGTGCCCATGGTGAGTACGGAAGGCAGTCTTATGCTCATCCTCTACTTTCATTCTGATTTGATGATATACAGCGCGTAAATCTAACTTTGTAAACCATTGTGCACCTGACAGTTCATCCAACAACTCATCAATTATTGGCAAAGGGCATTTGTTCTTCACTGTGATGGCGTTTAGGTGTCTGTAATCCACACAAAAATGCCAAGATCCGTCTTTCTTCTTCACTAGTAAGACTGGAGAGGCAAAGGGACTAGTGTTGTGTTGTATGATGCCATTTTGCAACATTTCAGTGACCTGAGCTTCTATTTCATCCTTTTTGTGCCGGTGTGTAACGATATGGTCTCACATTGATCGGTTGTGCCCCAGGTAGCAATGGTATAGAGTGATCAAAGGGTCTTGTGGGAGGTAACCCTTTTGGTTCAGCAAAAACTGTAGTAAACTCCTGCATTAGTTCCTGTACAGGAACTGGAATGGTCTCAGGCTCAACATCATCCGTGATTGAACAAAGTTGAACCATATGTGCCACAGCCTTGCGTTGTTGGAACTGTTGCATTTCATTTGCCGAAAGAATTTTGCAATGAGCCAATTCTGAATGCACCCCTTGCAGTGTGACGGTAGTTCCCTGCAAGCTTAAAGTGATAGTTTTCAGAGACCAATCCACTGACATTGGACTGTGTTTCATTAGCCAATCCATTCCCAAGATCATGTCATAGCTGGTTATAGGTAAAACCCTTAGAGTTGTCTGAAATTTATGACCCTGCACTTGCCATTCACAGTTTGGAATAATTGCTCCACAACACAATGTCTCTCCATTCGCCACTCGGACTGACAACCTTCTAGAGAGAGGCTGTATTCCTGTCAATCCTTCAGCTATCTGTGAACTAATGAAGCTGACAGAACTGCCGGAATCCACTAAAACCAATAACTCCTTACCCTGTAATTGCCCCAACATTCGCATGGTTCCATCTGGTTCAGTCCCTTGTACTGCTTGTAAGGAAATGGCCATAAGTTCCCTAGTCAAAGAACCATTCTGTCCAGCATTCTCTGATTCAACATGACTGTCTTCTTCTAAGAACAGACATAGTAACTCTTGTACCACATTCAATTGCACTGATGAAGCACACTTATGATTTGGAGACCACTTCTCAGCACAGACATAACACAACCCTTGAGCTCGCCGATAAGATTTCAGAGCAGACACTTTTTCAGTTAGGCTTGTCGGACTGCGAACAGTATCTGAACTGCGTCTCTCATCTGCACGATTACTGACAGGCACTCCCCCTCCTTTTCCTGGTGGTAATGGTAATGGCCAAGCCCCTTTTCCATTAATCTTCAGAGAAGAGCTTCCATCTGATTTCTTAAACTCTCTGACAGTGGTAGGTGGAGAATTTTCCATCACTTCTTCCTGCAACAAGGCAACAGCAAGGGCAGACTCGAGGTCCTTGGGACGTTGTAACAAAACTGCATTTCTAATCTCCCTCCTTAACCCTTTAGTAAATCTATGAGTCAAGTACTTTGAGCTAAGAGTTGGGTCATAAACTAACAGTTGATTCATCAATTCATCAAAGCGTTCATAAAACTCCCAAACTGTACCATTCTGTTTTATGCTATCCATTTGCCTAATCAAATTCTCATGTTGATCCCTATCAAATTTTGCAGAAACAGCAGCACAAAAATCTTCCCACATTGGAAATCTCAAATGAGCTCTAGAAGATCTCAACCAAGATGCTGCTCGTCCTAGGAAGTAAATGGTTGCTATCCTCACCCATAACCCCGGGAAAGTATTGTTAACATCAAAATAGTGCTCACACTTCATCCTCCACTCCTGAGAGTCTGAACCATCAAATTTTGGGAAGTCTAACTTAGGCACCCGATGATTGTACTGTCTATCACCATGCTCAGAATCAAATTCCCCAGACTCCCAACCTCCCCCATCAAATTTAGAAGTAAAATTCGGGGTGAAATCAATCGTACCCTTGCCCGGGGCTGGACCCTGAGTCGAACTGACCACCGGTGTCCTTCCCCGGAAATTCATCTGAACGTGGTGGCCTGCAGCCCATTTGCTTCCTCCTTCGGCTGCGGCGAGTTGGGTGGAAGTCGGCGGCGTCGGAAGCCGCGCCGCCTTCGCCTCCGATGGAGTCGGCAGCAGCGGCGCCTTCCTTTCCTCACCCGTCGATGGGACTCAAGGGGAAGACGCAGCCGGTGCAGATTGCTGAGATTTGCCGACGAGGTCGAGTTACTGACGAAGTTCGCTGACTTCCTCGCGCAACCCCTGAATTGCTGATTCCACTTGAGGTCTCCATCCACTCACTCCCGCATCCAACTTCACCACGGCTGCTTGTGTCTCCGCCTGCTTGGTGTTGAGCGATGCGAGGGATTCCTGGATGTCGCCGAGGATTTTGCCGAAGTCCAGATTCTGCTTTTCCATCGCCTCCACTTGCAATTGCAACCTAGATGTATAGCGTGGCTTCTCCAGGATGATTGCTCTGATACCAAATTGTTACGTCTCTGAAGAATTTGTGCCACAACAAGGGAAGAAATTGAGGATTTAGGGAGAGAATTGAGAGTTTGGGGAAGAACAGCTAAGAACAGGTAGAGGCAGCAATAGAACAGGGAGAGATTTGAATTGATTTCCGAATATTTGTTTCTACAATGTTTGATTCGTTCTCTTCCCTGCCGGTCTCTTATAGCGATGAGCTATGGACCTCTCTCCCTCACTGTGGCCCAGCCCAATTCTACTGGGTCCACACACTCGGTTGGTACAAGCTGTTGGGCCGCTTTTCACGTGTCGATCGCCGCAACAAGGGTTGCTTTGAATCTTGTCTCCTGCCTTGCTCTTCGCCTTCCTGAGATGGTCCTGAAGTAGTGCATGCCGTGACAATAATACTTTAAAAAATCAAATAAAATCTATTTTTAAAAATTTCAATAATTAATATTTAGTTAATAATCATGTTTCTCGTTTTAGGTACAGTTAATCGGTAAAAATAATCTACAAAAGAAGTCGGCCTTAGAATGATTTACATACTGGAGTACTAGTAGTAATTCTGCTGTTAGGAGGCCCAAGGTGTGTTTAGTTTGAGAAAAGAAAATTTTTGAGTGCCACATCGGATGTTTGATCGGATGTCGGAAGTGGTTTTTGGACACGAATGAAAAAACTAATTTCATATCTCGCCTGGAAACTGCGAGGAATTTATTAAGCCTAAATAATCCGTCATTAGTACATATGGGTTATTGTAGCACTTATGACTAATCATAAACTAATTAGACTCAAAAGATTCCTCTCGCGATTTCCATGTAAACTGTGTAATTAAATTTTTTAATCTATATTTAATGCTGCATGTATGTGTTTAAAGATTCGATGCGACTTTTTTAGAAAAAAAAATTGGGAACTACTCAAGGCCCAGTTTGTTTATCTGTATGGAGGTTATTGATGCAGGGTTGCAGACGACTTGTCTTTTATTTATCTCTCACCACCAAGCAAAAATCAAAGATCTGAAATACTTTTTACAGTTTTACTCCACTGCTAGTGTGGTGTGCAGGATGAACAAGCAAGAAGCCAAGAAGAGGATAGGAGAGGAGAAGAAGGCAAAGACATGGAAAAAGATGGGGAGAATCGGAGCAGAAAAAAGCCGGGGATTGGGGGCTGCCATGTCGACCCGCCATTGCTCCACTTCCTCTGCCTCTGCGTCTGGGAGTGGGACCCCACTCGATCGATCACTTCCCGCCTCCTCGCCTCTCTCTCTCTCTCTCTTTCTCTGCTCTCTCTGCACTTGCAGAGTTGCAGCAGAGAAGCGCTTCTTCTTCTTCTTCTTCTTCTTCTTCAATTCTTGGACCATTCTTCCCTTCTCTCCTCCTTTCCCCAACCCAAACACAACCCAGCCGCAGCAGCAACAAACGAAACCCTAGCCTAGCCAGGACGGCATCATGTCGCTGCCCGACCTCTTCGAGAAGCTTCTCGGCGACGGTATTGCGCTGCATTCATCATGTCTTCTTCTCTTCATTCTTTATTCTTAATCTAATCTCTTCCTCCTCCTCCTCGATCCCTTTGCCTGCCATTCACGCGCAGATCAGGACAGCTGGCCCGCGGAGGCCAACTTGCTCCTCGCCGCCCACGACGGCAACCTCCGCCGCATCAAGGGTACACTTCTCTTCCTCGCCACCCCTGAACACCTGTACTTGTACATGCAAGAAAACAAAACAAAAAAAAAAATCTTTTTTTAAAATCTTTTTCGGGCTTCTTGATTCCGCTCATGGAAGTGATAGAACGAGACTTGCTTGCTTGCTGTTGTGCTCAATCAGAGATCGCCGCGACGCTGGACGACGACGGGGAGGGGATCGCGGCCACCGTGGCGCGCACGGCCTTCCACGGCATGAACGCGCTGCACGCCGCCAGAAGCCTGCACGTCTACCGCTACTTGCTCGAGGTGGCCAACATGGACGTCAACAAGCCGGACACCACTCCAGGTGCATGTCAAGATTCATCCTCCTCTTCTGCTTCCTTTTGTCCTCTTCGCCAGCTAGGAGTACTAGCTAGCTATTTCAGCTGGATGTCTCACTGTTATTGTGAATCTGGTTTTCATTGCCTTGCCACGCTAGGTAGGAAGACTCCCCTCGAGCGAGCCATTGCCGGTGGGGACCTGCCCTCTGTCAGGTATCTCATTGATCATGGTGCTGATATCCATCATGAACGTGAAGGAAACATCACTTTTCTTCATTCAGCTGCAAAGAAAGGTATAAACAGGGGAAACCAATCCTCAGATTTAGTTCAACTTCTTCTTTTTCTTTTTTTGTTTTTATTACAAAAGAACAATCTGAGTTATGCTGTACTACCCGGCATACTATGTGTCATTCGGAATACTGCTTCAACCCAATCCCGTTCAGTGGAACAGCATTATGCCCTTGGATTTATTAGGGGAATATCCTATCTTCTTGTAGGATTCCCTGCTACATCCAATCTGCATTCTGTCATGATGAGCAGCCTTACGTTGAATGTGGAGAAAAATGCAGACAATACTGTAAGGGCCTCATTGTTTGCCCTATGGCTTATAAGCTAAAGCCAAAATCTGAACTTTAAAACTTGATTTTTAATTTGATTTTGATGTTTTTTTTTTCAACATAGTTTTTTTTTCAGCTTTGACTTTTAAGTCGCTAAGAATATATATACAAAAGTTTTTTTCGCACAACATTTTTTAATTGCTAATAAGCCGTTACGGCTTATAATAAGTTGTAAGCAACTGATGGGGACCTTAGCGTCTAGCAAATGTACAACAAAGCAAGCCTAATGCAGCATTTCCTGACGCATTTTGTTTTTACAGGTGTTGTTTAAGTGATATAGACCTTGCTGATGTACACTTTTCATGTTCATCAGCCTATACATATTAATTCATCATAAGAAAATGTTAAAATATATCATTCACATCATCATAGATTATCTGCACTTTACCATTCATCCTAGTATAACTGTTGGACTGTTTCTACTTCATAAACCTCATATTTATTTATCAACCTGCTGCCAGGGTTTCTTTTTGTGTGTGTGTGTTTTGTTCTAGCCACTGAAACATGTTCCTCCAAGAGTGAACTGCTCTTTTTGTGTGTTATTTAGGACTGGTTTGTCTTTTTCTTTTATTATCCTCCAGTTAAGCAGTTAAGTGTTAAATTGCCTCTTTGCTCTGGCTTCTCAAACTTGTCTGCCCCCAAATTGTTTCTCTCATACATCAGTGACCTTCAATTTTTTTATGTGATTGTTCAGGGAGGACTGAAATAGTAAAATTGCTGCTTTCTAGAGGAGCTCATGTTGATGGCAAATCAGATCATGGGACACCTCTGCATTTTGCTGCTATTAAAGGATATGAAAGTACTGTGAAGATTTTGTTGGAGCACCAAGCAGATGTACGATGCTTATACTTTTCTTATGTTGGGGCTTACTATTTCCTCCCACTGTTCCATCCTTACTCTCATTTTGGTTATTGATGTGTGAGCACTGAGCTAGCCCAGGTCTGGCTGAGCCGTGATCCACACATTAACAACTACTCCACTGAATAATCAATAGGAACAACGGAAGAAACACAAACAACTTTCTTAAATTATCTCTTTCTCTAGGAACTGTCATAATGTATGATAATACATTTCTTTCTTTTCCAGCCCAACAAGGTTATGCCTTCTTCTCAAGCAACACCTTTATCTGCGGCGTTATTCACTACTTCCTTACCTTGTGTGAAGCTATTGATCCAGGTACAATATTTTCTCCTTTGGACTGCTGCAATAGGATAAGGCTAAATAACTGATACTATATATGGCTAGAGCTGTTATAATCATCAAGTTATGTGAAGAAAATGTATAATCATTTTGTATTATACATAAACATTTGTAGGCTGGAGCTGATGTAAATGCTACAAACAACCCCCTGGCGAGAGCTGCAGGGAGTGGATTAACTGAAGCTATAAAGTTGTTGTTGAAGGCTGGAGCAAACCCAAATTGTCCTGACACGGTGAGCCTTCTGTTTTGCTTATCACACCATCACTATCAGCAGATTGAGTTTGTAGCTTCAATGATTTTAGGCCTGTGGCATTGATATGCATCACTAGTATGGAACAATGAAATGTATTCCTGAAAATTCACATATGTGGCACACGCTTATTTGTAAAAGATACTAGGCAAAATTGGTTATAGAGCATCGAAAGTTCACAGTTTTTGGTTATAGGAAATTCTTTTTTCTTTCGGAAACAAGATTATGCAAAAGATTTGGAGCATTTGAGCATCAGTTGAATAGTGTGATTTGATTTGTGAGACATGTGTACACCATTCTGTGGTGTGTTTCGCAGACCACTATCATCTGCTTCTAGAGTTGACACAAGCCTGCTAAATTCCCTGTTTTCATTTTCATTTAGCTTTTTTTGTTGGTCAGGTGCATAGAGATAATTAATAGTCGGTGAGCATAATGCTAATTGGTCTTTTCTAATGGCAACATGTTTAAAAAGTTTAGGACAACAAGAACTGATGGTAGCAATTTTGAAAAAATTATTGATAAAACAAGTACTATTCCATATTCATCAGTCATTTATGTGGTGGCATTACATCATTTAGTGATGTGCCTTGGTGGAGCAAAGTTAATTCCTAAATTAGCGTTATTGGAAGGAAGCATCGTCTTACCTTTCTCTGATCTCCAATATGACTTTATAAAGCTTTATTCGTTTGCCAAACAGCATGGTAGAATGCCAATAGAGCTGGCTGCTGTGTATGGTACAAGGGAAGATGTTGAGATTCTATTTCCTTTGACCAACCCAATTCCAACTGTTGCTGACTGGAGCGTTGATGGGGTAATTACTTATGCCAATCTGGAACGCAAGAAGCTAGAGGTATGTTACTATAGCAGTTGCCCATACTTGCTAGCGTCTGGTTGCTCTCTTTAGCTTTCTTCATGTGGGCTTGTTTTATTGTTCTTGCAAAAAGAAGATGAAGGAAGTTTGTTTCTATATTAAATTTGCTTCCCTGAATTGATACCTGGTGAGGGGGATTGGTACATGCTTTTCTAGATACTGATACACATCAGGTTTCCCAGGATCACTGGTAAAAATGGTGGATTACCAGCGGGGTCTCAAACCCTGTTTTGACACAAGGAACCACAATTGTTTGTACCCATTGCAGGCAACATGCCACCTTGTTCTCAGCAGCAGGATAGTTTGTATTAGTTTTGACCCAAAGTTAACAATAGCTCGTAGCTTGTTCATCAGACCTAACAATAGAGAAACAGGGTTTATCAATAAACATCCCCTTTTACTTGTTACATTGCATTTTGTCACATTGGACCTCTGAATCTGTCTGACTCATGCTGTTATAAATTGAACAGGATGATGATTACGTTAACACGAAAATGTCTGACCTGAAACAAAAAGGGAATGAAGCATTTGATGAGCAGGATTATGAAAAAGCATCAGTGTGGTACACACAGGTACATTCTTCTATCTACTTAAATAGTGCATCGACTATTAGAATGCTACTATGCTGAAAGACTAGTGCCATGAGCTCATCACTTCTTTTCATTCAACTCAATGCAAAATTTTCTGTTTCCTTGAATTGTCAATAAGATGCAGCTTTCTTCCATTTCATGGATTCAAAAAATCAGCAGTTATACCTTTTTTACAGGATAAGCAATGATTTTTTGATATAAAATCATCATGAGCTTTGTGCACAAAGTATATGTACTACGAAATAGTGTCTCCTTCGAGTAGTTATTTTGATGATTCAGTATGAGTTGAGCAACAGCAGTTATGTGGGATGATATATCTTCTAGGAATTCTGTCATATAATTGCTATGCCATCTACAGTTTTAAGTTCTTGTTGATATGTGAATTTCACTATGGGTTCAACTCTATCTGAGATAAATGAGAAATGTAACTTTGTGACAATTAAATTTTTGGATGTGGCAGCAACACTATATTTGACAGATACTGTTTGGTTCACCGCAGGCACTGGAAGTTGATCCTTGTGATGCCACAACTCTTCTAAAGAGGTGTCTTTGCTGGCTTCGCATGGGTGAGGGAAAAAAGGCTGTGAAAGATGCAACCACATGCGCAAAACATCACCCGAAGTTGTCGGAGGCCTACCATCGGCTAGGAGAAGCTCTAATGCTTGAGAAGGTGCAGCATAAAAAAAACTTCAATTCACCATTCCATTCTCATTGCTAACTAACTACCATCTCATTTGGCTGACCATATGCGCATTTTGTCCTTCATTAGGATTATGAGAAAGCTTGCGTGGCGTTGACCCATGGTATAGAGTTGGATCCTGAAAGTGATGAGATGGACAAACTGTTCTGGTAAGAGATTCTCACCACTAGTCCTGGTATTTGTGCATTGTAAGTTGTGCTTTGATATCATTGTGTTGGATGTTCTAATGGAGATTTGCTCTCAGGGAGGCGATGGACCTGAAGAACTGAGTAATGCCGAGTGACCCGAAGCCCTTTTTTGTTGGTTTAGAGACAGTTTAACTAGTAGCTCAGCTGCAATTTTGTGCATATGCAGTACTAGTACTTGGCATTAGGCTTGAATTCATGGTGGGAGTATGGAGAACGGCGTCTTCTTCGGAAGAATTAGAACTGAAGCATAGGTTAATGGCAACTTTGACATCCTGTTTGAGATATGGATTCTTACAACATTCAGCCCAGACTGTCCAGTAAGCTTGTGGTGATTTTAGCATGCGAGACGCAGGAATGATGGCTTTTATTTGCTCCAGATGGAGAAGAAATGTTGTTGGAATGATGAACTAAATGCTAATTCTTCCTTGTGATAGTTGTTGAGTATGTTCGGATGATTAATTTGCTTCACCTGCCGCGAGTTGCGTACTTGCGTGTACTCCTATGTCAACCATAGGCATTGGACTGTTGGTGTTCCTAGCCAGCCTCAAATTCTTTCAGTAAAAATGTTTTTGGAAACAAAACCTCTGAAAATGAGAAAATGAGCATGCTTGTCGTGAGCATTGAAAAGGTAGACAGGAATGCCAGTATGAGCAGCTACTATTTGGAAGAAAATTATTCGCGAACGTGCAAAAGAATTACACGGAAAGAAAACTAGAAAAAAAAAAGGAGAGGAAGAAATATAAAAAATGTCTGGAGATAGGATGGGCTGGGCCGTATTCCGGCCCATCCGTGCGGCCTTGCACTTCCTTCATCTCTCTCTCTCTCCCCCTCTCTCTCTTCTTCCGCCGCCGCCGCCGCCGCTGCTCTCTCGCTTCGTTTGTCTCCACCGGCGCCGACGCCAGCTGCGTGCTGAAGTAAGCGGATGGACCTCACTCGCCGGCGCCGCCGGAGGCAACCTGCCCCGGGCGCTCCCCTGCCATCAGGTAACCCTGTTCCTCAGTTCTTGGTTTTTTCCCTGCTTGTCTAGGCTAGCCGCTGGCACAGATAAACGCGAGCTCTCTGAACAGCCATTGGTGACAGCATGATTTGGGACCTGTTCACTTTGATGTCATTTTCAACCTTACCAAATTTTGATAAAGTTGCCAAAAAATGGCTATATTTAGTTTGCTGTCAAATTTTGGTAACTATATAAGAAATCTTGCCAAAATTTTGACAAGTTGCTAAAATTTCGGCAATGCCAAAATTTGGTAAGTATTTTTTTGGCATCAAAGTGAACATGCCCTTGGTGTCTATGTTTCAGATGCAATCAACGACAGTGGTGCTAATCCGGAGTATAATCTTGACGAACCCACCATGGAGGAAAAGCTGGCCACCCTGAATCTGCTCAACGGAGGAGGCGACGGGACAGCAGGTGAAGCTACCCAGGAGCAGCCACTCCCCGTGGTGATGCCGCCGAGCGCGGACTCGGTTCACGTCTTGCTCAAGCAGGCTCTGCGGGCTGATGACCACGCATCCTTGCTCAATTGCTTGTACAATAAAGACCACAAGGTATCGTCATGGTTTTCCCTTCTTGCAATGATGCAATGCGATGCTTGCCTGCCGTTTCACTTGCACTGCATTCGGCTATATCGCCAGATTTTCGTGGTACTGAAATATGATTTTATTCATCACTTGCTCTGCTAGTGTTAATCACTAATTCTTACCTGTTATTGAGAGATGTTATAAGTTAACATTGACTAATCCTTGATGCAATTTGGTCATCAAATCTGATAATTTCAGTGTTGGTTTCTGTGCAGGTCATTGTTAATTCAATATCACTTCTTACACCAGCAGACGCTGTGAAGCTTCTCAAGTTCTTCATATTGCTTATGCAATCGAGGTAGGATAATTCGTTAGACGCACTTTTGCAATTCAGTACAAAGAAGATGGGCTTAGGATATACAATTCGGGTTATTATGTAATTCATCAGTAGACATGAAAAAAAGGAGAGCTTCAATTCTTTTTTCTGCATCTATGTTTGACTGGATTTTCATGGGCTACTCAAACAATGATTATATTTACATACTGCCAAGATTATTTGGTTATATTTTGACGTAGAGGTCTTATGTTTTCCATTTTTTCCCCTTTGTCAGGGGTGCAGTGCTGGTTTCCTTGCTCCCATGGCTGCAAAGTTTGCTCAGTCAACACATGAGTAGCATAGTTTCTCAGGAGTCTTCTCTGCTTCTGCTCAACTCACTCTATCATGTGAGTATTTATTAACTAATTCTGATTGCATAGGTAGCAATTAGCTACATTTATGTGAAGGATATTGTTCAGTAATTGAGCTTCTTCTCAACTCACTCTATCATGTGAGTTGTTTAAAATATGTTTTTCCTTTATATCCTTTGGAGCAACAAATATTTTTTTGAAAAACCAGCACATCATTTCCTGGTGATTGATTTAGAACTTTACTGCCCCACGTGAAGTGAAGTTGAGAGCTTTCTTTACCTATACCAGATGGTGGCCTCCTGAATGATACTAGCCTCTGGATATCTAAGCACCGTATTCTCAAGTAACCTGTTTAGCGCCAATTATTATCTTGAATGTATCAGTATGCACGCTATAGCTCAGACATGAAGAGACAGATTGCAGGTCATTTTTGTTTTGAATGTTAGTGTTACCGACTGCATATTCTTTCTGACTCGTGGGATTATTTCCATATATATATGCAACATACCTCTGAGAGTTTACATACCTATAGCATTAGCAGCAAAGTATGGCCTGTACTGCATAAAGAGTTGTCTCCGTATGCACCACTTACAACCTCCTTTAGTGATGTGCATCAGGATGTCTGCATCTAGGCTATACAGCCCCTTGGAATTTGTGGATGTCAAAATTACTGTGAATATGTCAGCTTTTAGTGCACTAGTGGAGACATAATAACAATTATAAGTCATGTGCTCATGTTTATTTTTGGATTTTACTATTACTGATTGCATTTCTCTCAGCTAATTGATGCAAGAACATCGACCTTCAAATCATCGCTGCAGTTGTCTACCTGTCTAGATTATCTTTTCAGTGAGGTAAGTTTTACTTTTACCCCACCAGCAAGTGCCATCATTTTGAGCATTGCAAATCCATAACTGAAAGTATGTATCTCCCAGATTGACGATGATGGATCCGGAGAGGAAGAAGGATCCCCGCCGATAATTTATGAGGACAAGGATACTGATGATGAAGAGTCTGAAGTTGATGATATGGAAACCAGTGGGGAGGGTGAAGATCTGGGGGGTGTTACTGATGCTTCTGAGCATTCAGATGGAAGTGAGGTCATGAGCGACTGATGAATCGATACCTGATGAGCTCTTGATCTTCGTGATGAGAGTTGGAGTTGTGAGTTAACCTCATGATGGGCAGAAGAAGTCGATAGGATAGTTTCTGAACACTTTTCACATTGATTTTTTCTGATGAGTTGCGAGTTGCCTTCAATTCTTTGTGAGCATGTTGTTGGAATTAATGGGTAACTCAGTCTTGCCTGCACTTGTGAAACACATATACTCTTTACCATGAAAATACCCTTTTAGATACATACATCTAGTTTTGACAGTAAAAGAAGGCAAGCATGAAAACTTACAGCAAAAGATTCATCATTTGGTGGACCACTGAAATAGCTTGAATTAAGATGCATATATATGTACTTACCGGCAATTTTGAGTTATGAGATCTGAAAGAGCGGCTGACAACAAACATTGAGACGGGTGGCGTTTTGCAGGCAGGGTTAGGCAAACATGCGGTATTATATTCTCCTCCATCATAACAATTTACAACACAAGTCGCAGATACAACACGGGTTACAAATATGACACGCTCCTTTATTCATTCATCATTACGTGATGGAGTACAAGTTTATAGGTACGGTTACACACACAAGTAGTAGTCTCTGCAGTAGAGGTAATGAAAACACGTACATGCAGCATTCGAACAAGTAAAAAAAAACAGATGTGCATGTCCGTTTTCCAGAATATATATGCAGGATTAGTTAAGAACATATATAGGTAGAAATATATTTTGCACCAATTAATTAAGCAGATTAAGATGGGTACGTAGTAGACATTAGCAAGCAAGCACCAAACCTGTAGATTAGATAGATAGATAGATAGATATCTGGAGCGGTATCATCAGCTGATGATGATGTGTATAGATGAAGTATTGAGCTGATGCAAGAGGAGGCCTTGGATTCGATGGGTGAGGAAATGAAGTAGTAAAATGATCAGCAGGTAGCTTCGCACTTGGTCGAGCAGTCGAAGGAGCAGCCGCCGCCGCCACCGCCGGCGGCGTAGCCATTGCCGGAGCGGCTGAAGGAGACGAAGCACTTCTTCGGGCAGGTCAGCTTCTTGCCGTTGCATGGCCCCTTGTCGGAGCAAACCATCGACGGCGCCTCCGCCCCACCATTCCCGAACCCGCCGACGTCGCCGGCGGCGGCGCTGCCGTACCCAGCTGCCCACGCTGCAGGATCGCCGTTGTACGGGTTGTTGGTGCCGGGGACGAAGAAGCCTGCCGGGATGCCGAAGTCGTAGGCCGGCGGGGCCTGGCCGGCCGGGTCGGCGGTGAGGTCGCGCGCGGCGGCGGCGGAGGCGATTATGCCGGCGGTGAAGAGGACGGAGACGACGACGATGAGCAGCCTTGGAGCCATGGTGGCCATTGTTGGTACGTGGTAAGAGAGATGGATGGAGGGAGGGAGGGAGGTGGTGCAATGGAAGCTAAATTGGCTTGGAGAGGAGAGGAGTCTAATTTTAGATAATAGAAGCTCTATTAAGACTGGGTTACGTTCGTCCACAGATGATTGTGAGAGAAAATTCACCTTGTTTTTTCACGTGCACGTTTTCTAAACTATTAAAAGATGTGTTGTTTGTAAAAAATTTAGGGTCACATCTTTTTTGTCTTAGTATAAGTTATATGCCAATACCAAAAGTTGATTTTGAGGTTTATTTTTCGTAGTTTCTTTTTTTAGCTTGAAGTAAAAAAAACACATATATAAAAGTTTTAACCCAAATTTTTTTTCACAATAGCCAAACATTTGGCGTATTATCCGTAATTGGCCAACCGATGACAACCTTATATAGAAAAGTTGCTTTTAAAAATCATACTAATCTATTTTTAAGTTAAAAATAATTAATACTCAATTAATCATGCGTTAGTGGTTCACATTGTTTTATGCATTTTCTCTTTTCTCCTTCTCTCAAACACTCCCTCAGTCAGTTACACCAAGATGATGTAATCGCGCGCTCTGAGCCCATCCCTGACGAGGAGTATATGGTCATGTTTGGAGAAGCTTTAAGATTCTGAGAAACAACTAGTTGGTCGCCAGATTATGAGAATCTAGAAAAGCTGAGAAACTCGGCTTTTGATTGTTAGTTTAATTTTTGAATTCTACAACTACAACTTCTTAGAATCTGAACGGAAAGCTAAATTATTTGAGGAACCTTCTGAATTTGAAAAGCTGCAGCTATCAAAAACTTTCGGAACAGGCTCTCAAAACTAGAAAGCTGGGAACCTAGGACTTTGAGAGGAAGAAGAGGCAGTGGTAGCAAAGGCCCCAGCATGAGCATGCATCCATGATACTCCATACGTAACTTTCTCTTGTCATGGCCGGCCGGCAGATGGCTGTCTCGCACCACCACCACATTTGCAATAGCAACAGCTAGCGACACTTGCTAACAATAATAAGCTAAAGCTACCAGTAAGCTCAACATCATTTCATGTCCATCTAATACTACCTTCATTAAAATTTTAATGTATGACGCCGTTGATTTTTTATCCAACGTTTGATCATTCGTCTTATTCAAAAAATTTATGTAATTATCATTTATTTTATTGTGACTTGATTCAGTTCTTTAAGCATGACATAAATATTTTTATATTTGTACAAAACATTTGAATAAGATGAATGGTCAAACATTAGATAAAAAGTCAATGGCGTCATACATTAGTGGAGGGAGTATATGTTGGTGTAAACGGTTTGAACTAGCGACATGGATTGATCGATGGATGCGTCGGCCGATCGAATTGATTCGATCGCGAGGTCAGGTGCATGCTGGAAAGGAAGCTGGATGATTTTGTTCGTAGTAGTAAAGTAGTAGAACGTAGTTTCTGCTCTTTCACACGTACAGGAAGAGAAGTATTAAAGTAGTTTCTTTGGCAAAGTAAAGTGGTTGCGATCCCTGCTTGAATTTTATTGCAGACGTAAACCAACTTTTCATGCTCTTTCTAACTGTATACTCCTCTGTTTAATTGTGTTTTGATTTGATCCCCTCCAAATGAGAAAAGAGAACCTCAGACAGATGCATATATAAGTACTGCAGCCAGTGCATTGCATGCACTAGATGAAATAGAGGAGCTCAGAGCTGGCCTGCATCTTGGATGGATGGGATTGAACAACCATACAGATATCCATTCAGGTTCAGTTGACGAAAGAATTAATAGTAGAGGATTGTTGCCGGCCGACAGGGGAATCCCGGTCTCTCTTTCCATCCATCGATCCCTATTCCTGCATATCAACAAATGCGATGCATGCCTGGGCTTTTATGCCCTACCACGCATTTTATTTTTACAAGACGACTTCTACACAAATTGCTACTGGTAGATGTTTGCTTCAGCGGTTCACCAGTAAGCTCTGCATCTCAAAATTTTCTATCAATCAATCGTCAAACATGTATTATTTTTTAATAATGAAAATAGATTGTATCTCCGCCTTCAATCATAAGACACATCCAAAATTTTGTTAAAGATAAAAATAAATCAAAATAAGAAATAAGGTGATGAAACAAATCCCCAACTCCCATTTATTATTGACTAGCGTTAAATCACATAGATTTTTTTAGCTATAATTCTAGCACCACAGAACCAGATCGATCAATATTGAAAAGGCCCATTCTTGGTCCTTCAAACCCCCATCTTGGTCCAAGCCCTGTCACAAGTTTGGCCCATTCTTGTTGCACTGGAAGGGAAGGCCCATGTTGGTTGTATCCGTGCAGCCCATATAAAATGGGCCTGAACTGTAAGTCGGTAATGCGACGTGCGGGCGAAATGTTTGGGCCGGTACGGGTTTCTAACCTACAAGAGGCCTGTTTTTGTTGGGCCGAAATGGTAATGCGACATACGTGAAGCCCATTTTGATTGTGCTAGGAATTTTTTAAAAGAACCCCTTTGGTTAATGGTAGCACATATAGCGGTCCCGTATTTCCTTTGCATATATGCCGTGTTTGGTGTTGGATCCTCCGTCTTCCCCACAAGGAAAGGGAATCGCCGTCCTTCTCGCCGATGGCCACGGCCACTACCCACCAGTCGTCATCATCTTTATCTGGAGCTAGCAAGAGCAAACGATGATGACGATTGGTGGGTAGCCGTCGTCACTCCACTGCGCTCTCGCTGTCCGCCGCCCGCCTACCGGATCGATCAGTGCGGCCAACGGCCGGAGAGGAGACTCACTGGTTGACGTCGACGGCGATCCGACCCGATCGATAACAAGGGCAAAACCTGTTAGGAAACGTTAGGCAAATAAACGATAAACAATGATAGATCAATCACAAAAGACACGAACATCAGTCAACAAAAATATCTTTATTATATTGGGATAAGATTACAGCACCGAAGGTGAAATCTTAAAAGGATAACGATACCCTACGCTTCGCTCCGGCCAAGCCTCCAATAATGGGCTTCCGCTTCGCTCTGACAGAAGCTGGTCTTTATATATGTGCAAATGAATTTGGAATACAACTCAACAAAACCGTCAAACCATAATAGTTAGGCCTAGGATGATCTATCTTTGATCGATCGATATATTCGCGCGCAAGAATCGATCCAAGCCAAGGTGACTCACCACTCCACTCCACTCCACTAGTATCGATCGATATGCCGATGCGCGCCGCCACCTCCTCGCCGCGGTGCGCGTCCTTCTCCTGCAACCGCGGAGGCGCCCACGCCCACCTGGGCCAAAGCTGCGGCCGCCCGCTGGGCCGAGCTGCCGGGTGCCTCGCCGCCGCCTTCTTCGCGTCGCTGGAGCGCTGCTCCTGCGTCGAGTTCCCCACGGACGACGACGACGACCACCCTCCCAGGAGCCGGGACGTCGTCGTCGTCAGCGAGGCGGCGCCGCTGCTGCCCCGCGCCACCACGGCGGCGCCGAAGAAGAGCACGTCGACTACGACGGCCGGGAAGGGCAAGATCAGCAGGGGTGGCTTTCGCTGTTGTGACAACACCACCACTGCTAATTAATCAATAGTCTTCAATTCTTCTTCTTGCAGTATGCATGTTGCAAATGAATAAACCAATTGTTAGTTAGTTTCTCGCTGATGAATTGTACTATGTCATAAGTTCATTTTGGATGAATCATCCTACATATATACTCCTATATGTGTATCACACTCCAATGGTCTTCGGTTCAATTGCTCTCCAGCTTAATTTAATCTGGTTGAAATGTAGGAATATTTAGCGTGCAGTTACGTACTGATCCCCCATCTTCAATTCTTGATTGCACGGATGAACTTACGTGGTTTTCATGAGATTTTCTACGGTGCTTGGGATTTATCTGGGAGCATGTTTACTGTCCAGCAAGTTGTACCGCCTGGTACTGGTACCGGTCGGTGCCAAAACTCATCCGACCGTTCAATTCGGGATGGATAGGATTGGGAGAGAAAATTAGCAGTGGTGCGCTCAATTTCAGCACCGACGGCGTGTGAGCAGGGGCGGCGGAGTTGAGGATACTTTCCCTGCGCTGAGGGCCCGAGGAGGAGTAGTCCTTCCTGGCGGCGACGGATGGAGAAGGAGGATTCTTTCTCGGTGCCGAGAGGATGAGTACGTACTTCCTAGCGGCGAGGGGCGGACGAGGCGGAGTTCTTCGCGGCGCCGCACGGACGAGGTCGACGCACTCCAGGCAGCGGCGGTGGCATTGGTGGGAACCCTATCACACTATCCGCTTGACTCCCATCCATCTATTGCACGTGAAATTATATTTTTGCCTTTCCACCTTAGTTCTTAGGTCGGTACTGTACCAAGGACAGAATTGGTATCTCACGGTACCAAACTCTACCAGCTGTTGGATCGGGTCTAGGAATTCAGTACCGGCCGTTGGACGGTAAAAAAAACTCTTTATCTGGACTGTTGATAGAAGGTACCTGAGGTACCTTTCAAGCACCGTAAAAGACCTCGGTTTTCATACATATCACTTAATCCTAACTAAATGATGATGAATCTGTTCCTTGTGTTTGTTCTTTCTTCTCTCTTTCTTTTTAGACTGGTTTTCTTTTCTCTCTTTTTCTGCACGGCCTGATTCGCACCATCCATCAGCATAAAGCTAGCTAGGATTAGAAGCCGTTGCTTCTACAGAGTAGGCCTAGTTTACAGCAGCCCAGCAGCTGGATGGCCCAAGCCCACATGCCCAAATGTCCATCACAATTCACATTTCCAGTGCCTCTCCATCAACATCTCATTAACTAAGCTTTCTTTTTCTCAAGATCCTGCTTACCTATTAGGGAGATCCACTGATTATCTGAACCTGCGGGGGTGTACTCTCAACTCTGATTAACACCTTTAACCCATCACTTGCCCATTTCCTAATGGCCCCAGGCAGCATGACAACTGCATGTGCCCTGCCTTTTCTGTTTTAACTGCTTGGTTTAGCTTTGAAAACAACCAATGGTATACTGTCTACATGCATCATCTCCTGATCTCAGACTCACATAGGAGTGTTTACTTCAACAAGAAAAAAGAACATTATTGTGAGACCTTTTGTAGTGAGAGTCTATGCCTACCTGTCACATGTTGTGCAATATGTGACTCTTAATTCTAGTTCCTAATCCAAAGGCAGTAGGAAATTAACTATATACACCATATTTATACATTTACTACAAAAGATGCATGCCTGCCTACTCTTTTACTACTAGATTTAGTCATTTAATCGAAAAGTAACATATTTCAAGTGACACTGAATAAAGTTGACAAGCCACAATAATTACTACTAAAAACTAATTATATAAGATAAAGGTGTATGCAGAGAACTGTTGCTAGCATATAGCCGGACACCTGGCCCAATCTCCTCAGTGCATCCTCCCTGTCAAACCAAACAAGAAACTAAGATTCCAATTTCTGAATTTCCAAAAGCCTCCCTAGATGCGGTCTTTTCTCCAAACCTGGAGGCAAACCATGTGCCTGCACTTGCAAATATATGCAGTAGTCGCTAGATCTCATCGTGCGTGCATGCATCTTCAGAGACTTCAGGTACAGACACCAAAATTCAGGCTTTGATGGATAGGAACTACACATGCATGGAGGCCATCTGTCCATCCATGGCACTTAACTAACATAACTCCCTGCTTTTATTTCACTATATTATGTGATTATACTCGTACTGTTAGCTAACTAAACTATACTTTTATCTCCAATGACTCTTCTTGATTAGTACCCTAGCTCACAGTACTCTTCTCAGACTGTCTCCTTTTCCCTTTCACTAAGCAATAGGTATGTTGATCTTTCTGTCGAGCTAGCTAGCTAGAGCTTACCATTGTCTGGTTGATCTTCCATACCTTCTCTGTGTTGTCTCGTGCTACCCACTTGCTGTAACAGAAAGGTCGTGCCTCAACATCGCCTGCTTTATTAGTCTAGCTAAAGGAGGCAGCTTTAGTACTTATTAGATCTTATGCATAATAATGCATATACATTTAAACATAATTAATGATGCATCATTGTTTTTTTTTTTGAACTTGTGAATGTTGCCTTTGAGATTTGCACTAGAGTATGACTTACAAATTGGAGTTAATCCCATCTTTCTGAAAGCTTTGCTATGCATCATGCGACCATGCAGCTTGCATGCATGATCTCTACCTAATCAAATTACTTGCACATAGCACTGACAGTCACTAAATATTGATGCATGGGTGGACACTGTGCTGATCATTAAAGGAAAGATGCAATTACCTTTTTTAGAGGAACAGTGGAAGATTACTTACTTGCTATGATATGCAATACTACTAGAATATTCCACATAGATGGAAGCATATATAGATATATGTTGTCTACAAGTTTTATTCTTTGAGATGATGATGGGTGACTAGTGTAACATTAGCTTTGATGCTATATATTCCAGTGGCTGAGCATATACTCCATCGACCAGATATCTGTATTCCTTCATGAAAGAGCTAAGGTAGCATGGCCAACCAGAATGTTTATATATATGCCCCCCTTTTGAGTTAATTACATGTAGCTTTCGATGACCTATCATCGAACAGTCATGATCAGTAAGAATGCACTAGCTTTGCTGCATAAAAATCAAGGGCAGGTTTGCTGGTGTCCCAAAAGTAGTGGTGTGGGTGCGCTCCATGGTTTCAATGTCATAATGTAATGGCTTTTAATTTCTACTATCAGGCTACATATATTAATTTAATTTCACGATTACATTGTGTCCATGTAATAATATAATATAGAATTCTGTTAGTTATACTAGTACTGTTTAACTGTCGCTTGCTTTCAGATATATAGATCGATGGTGCAATCCAGCAAGAAATTCAACAACATCTTATCAAATAATTCAGGTCAGACTGACTAAGGATGGGTTTAAACAAACTTTTCGATTGCTAGTCATAGAATAATCATTTATCAGTATATAAGACAGCTGAGCATGCAAATCAATAGATCTTGCTGGCCCTAGGCAGCAAAAAAAAATCGAATATAAGATTTGCTATCCAATATCTTGTGGGCGTGCAAAAAACAATTAGAAGAACCTGCTAGCTAGCTATATACCTCTCCCTTTCCTTAGTGATTAAGGTTTTAGAGCTTCTCAATGAGAGTAACTAGGTCGGGCTTTAACTAGTTTTTCTTCCCTTCTCGATCCTCTGTAAAATTAAAGGTGTTTTTATTATTATTCTGTGATAAACAATTGGGCATTGGAGATTATTGGTTTTGTTATTTGGAATTTATTCACGAAGTGGTTTTGGAGATGATCGGATTTACAGGTGATCGCAGGATCTATCATTTTATGTGGACTAGTCAGACCGTCAGACCGGTGTGTATTGCGCGGTCAGACAGGCGCAACCCGCGGTCTGACCGGCCGACACTGTATCGGTTTCGGTTTCGGATTGTTTATTTGGATATCCGAGTTTATTTCATGATTATGACTTCTAGATGGATACTATACGTATGTAATACTATTGTTTGCTGCTAATGAGTCAAGTTAGAGATAGCTTGGTCTCAGAATATGGTTTCTTTGTTTGTTCCATGTGTAGGTGACTCGATGTCTCAGGAGAGTATTTGCAGTGATGGACGGGGAGTCGGCTTGGGGATAAGACGACGTCCGTGGTGGTCAGAGATCATGCGGGATACTTAGGCTAGAGTTGATGCACGTGGTTGATGGAGATTCCATATGGTATACGATGGAGTTATTGTGTGCGTATGGGATGCGGAGTCGAATTTGGAAGGAGTCCAAATTTGATACGATTGGTTATGTAAAGTTTCTTTCTTGTACTAAAGGGTTTCCTAAGGTGTTTAGGACTCCTAGTATGAGTTTGGTTCGTGGCTTTAGGCTGCCTACCTCATGTATAAATAGAGGGGGAGCGTGAGGCTTCCCGGTATCGCTTTAGAGAGCAATAGAATTGAGTTTTGAGTTAGGGTTTCGAGTTTAGTCGAAATTTTTGTAAGGAGTGATGTTGATACACTTTGTAAAGACAGAGAGAATCAATAAAGTCGTTATCCACTTTAAGAGTTCTTTGATTTGTGTTTACCGGGTTTCGGCGATCTAACCGGCGATCTACCGGCTGTCAGACCGGCGGCAAGCGGCGGTCAGACCGGCGGGAGCACGGCAGTCGGACCGGCAGCGGCGACAGGCGTAGCAGGCGACTTCGGCGGTCAGACCGGAGATTCTACACCGGTCAGACCGGCGGCATCCACTCGGTCAGACCGGCAGATCAATTTCAGTCAGACCGACTTTCGTCGATTTCGAGGGTAACTTTTATTTCCACTAAAAGTTTTCGGTTTTTGGGTATACCAACCATTCACCCCCCTCTGGTTGGCTTAGTTCTTGTGATTCGATCCTATATCTTCTTCTCTGGAGAGTGAAGACTACCAACCTAGCTAAGCTACCTACCTTTCATTTTCACAGATGATAATCTAGGATTCTCCCTTGTCCATGTAAGAATATGCCCAAAGCATCATAAGGTGTACACAGAACACAGCCACCCTAGATACATGTGAATAGTTCTTGAGCTTTTGTAGTTCACAAGATTCTATTGCTAAGTATGATGCTACACGGATGTGTACTATCTATGTGCGGTTACACGGCCGTCAGGTTAAAGTTGGTAAACATCGCAGTATCTGTAATTTAATTTGTAGACAATTGAACTAGCTAGTCATGCAACCTTTTTACTTTGCAGTTAAAGTTTTGCACTTTCATAGGGTGAAAGGTGAAACAACTCTGAACTGGTGTAGCTTTCATCTGCAAATTGTACCAAATACTGCAGGTAAGGGTAAAACCAGGGTAGAAACTAGAAAGAATATATGGTTTTGACATGCGCAATCTTCTATTATATACTAAAAATCCATTAAACTTCCTACAAACGCTCTCAAGCCGCCATGTGGCATCCTACAAACGCTCATAAGCCACCATGTGGCGCTCTAATAAATTATGGAAACTATAAGAAAAAAACAAAAATATCTGACCGTCGATTTTCATTTAAAACAGTGGACCCAGTGATTTTAACCATCAGATCAAAATAAAATCTCTCCTCACCCTTCTCTCCTGGGCCCACACGTGCACTTTCCCGACTTCTGTACGTACGCATCCTCCCCTCATTTTCTCGTTTTTTTCTTTTTTCTAATTAAGGTAGTTATTACGAGATACACACCATAACGTATTATTGTAAATGGTTATATCCCTTCTTGCATGGAGCAACAAGCTGGCTGTGCAACCTGCAAGCAGTAATTTTTTTTATGGACGATATATACTTTTATGATATACGCTTGAATGGTTGTATTTTTTATTTAAATTAATCAACAAGCTAAGTCCTATATTCACTATATTTACTATGTTTTTATATAGAAATAGACATGTGATGGGTATCTAATGGGTAAAAAAAATTTAGCCGTTTGAGATATAAGTATGGGATATGAGTTCCTCTGTTACATGCATGGTTGGTGGCGGATCGTTACATAGTATAAATGATTGTATATAAACAATAGATAGCTAAATGATTATATTTTTTTAATATATTCATTTTTAGTTTGATCCATTTAGGCCTTTCTTGATATCTGATAAATATATTGTTAGGCATAAACCTATATCCTTTCCGTGACAACTAAACAGCAACGAAACGTTGTATAAAAATTGACAACCTATATCATATCATCATCTGTTAGATGTCCATTACAACATCTCTATGTCTACACATTTCACATATAATAAATTAAAAAAAACATAAAAATTTTGAGAAAAAAAAAAGCATATGACCATGAGTTTTATTTAAATCGATGGACCCTTCCCTCTCCGAAAAGCTCAGTGCTCTCCTCTCCTCTTCCCCTTCCTATTATCTAGCTAAAGTCTATTAAACTTCCTACAAACGCTTCTAAGTTGCCACATGACACTCTAACAAATTAGAGAAATCGAAGAAATTACAAGAAAAAAGCAAAACATCTAACCCTCGATTTTCACTTAATACGGTGGACCCAATATTCTACATTATTAGAAAAATCCCAAAACCCATCTCCACCGCCCCCTCCTCTTGGGCCACCTCTTCTCGCGGTACGTACATCCCTCCCTCCCTCTTTCCTTCCTTCCTTTTTTTAATCTTCTAGCTAACAAATTAATAAAAATCATAAAAATTCTAATTTTATAAAAGTTGATGAACCCATTAATTTTAACCATACGATCTTCATTTGAAAAGAAAATCTGGTACCTGCACCCTCACCGCCACATCCATACGTGCGTGCGCACATAACCCTCCTAACTCTCCCCTCCTTTTCTATTTCTTAAGCTAACTTCTATTTTTTAGCTAAGACTCAATCTATCAAAAATTAATAATTGGATTTCTAAATGATCGTAAATCTCAAGTTAATTTTTTTCTCATTTTTTGAATTATTGTGCTATATATAATTAAATACATAATTCGAGATCCATATACATAGCTCAAACTTCTAATATAAATGTTTAAGAGCAAATTTTTAAACAACATATTAAACAAATATTAAATTTAGATCCTATAAACGCTCCTAAATCGCCACGCGGCAATCATACCAATGCTCCTAAATGACATGTGACTGCTCCTAAATGACATGCGACCCTCTAATAAATTATAAAAAATCACAGGAATTATATTTAAAATAATCTAACCATTGATTTTTTTTAATATTTACAATCATTAGATCTAATATTAATCTTAACCTACTTAAAAACTTCAAGATGATTCTATCCTCCATTGCTTGATGATGCCATCCATGAGTCAGCCGCATGTACTCCGCATATATGTTTCGTTCACGAGGGAGAGAGCGCGTGATTTTGACTCAAATTGAAAAAAAAAAGAACCAAATCATTCGACTCAGCTCACTGAAAGAAAAAAGCAAATGGAAAAAACATCTTACTTCTAATTTAAAATTAATTTGCCATACCTGTTTTTAACAAGCCAATACATATGCCCGCGTATTGCGCGGGCTACCTTCCTAGTTGGATTAATTAAAAGCAGTAACTTGTAACTTTGCAATGGATCAAAAACCACGGCAATGAAAAGGAAAACAGAATATATATATATTCGCTGATTATTACCACTTTCTACAAAATTTGGCAAATCGTCAATGCGAGTGGACATAGTATACTTGCAAAGTTATATGCGACGACAATCCACCTGTCTGTCTATGATATGAAATGAAGCTTTTTCCAAAGCTTCAACAGAGGGGACTGGAAGGAAGAGCAAACAAAGTTGGCTGCCACGTCAGAAAACCACTAGTGGGCCCCACAAACCCACTGGGTTGAATCGAATCGACGGCTATAAAATGGGCCCTTCCTTCACTTGTTCCCTCCCTTTTCCCTCTCCTTCCACTCGACCCCCTCTCTTTGGTTGCTAATTACCATTCTGCCCCTCTCACCTCCACTGCCATGGCCGGCCTCCCCTTCCCCTCCGACTCCGACACCGCCCTCGAGGCCTTCCTCGCCGACATTGGCTTCGGCGCACCATGTCCGGAAGCTGCTCCGGCGCCGTCTCCGTCGCATCCGGACACGACGGCGGCGGCGGCTACTGATGAGCCGGTGATGGCCGGTGACGACCAGGCCGACGAGGAGCGGCGGCGGCGGCTCCGGCGGAGGATCTCGAACCGCGAGTCGGCGCGCCGGTCGCGCGCGCGGAAGCAGCGGCACCTCGACGAGCTCCGGGCCAAGGCCTCCGCGCTCCGCGCCACCAGCCGCGACCTCGTCGCGCGCCTCCGCGGCGCCAGGGCGCGCGCCGCGCTCGTGGCGCTCACCAACGCGCAACTCCGCGACGAGGCCGGCAAGCTCGCGCTTCGCCTCGCCGCCGCCCGCCGCGTCATAGCTCTCCGGCAGCTCTACTCCGCCGCCGCCGCCGGCGGTGGCTTCGAGATGCAGGCGCTCGCCTCGTTGATCGCGTAGGCGATCGATCCCACGTGGACGCATGCATGCACGTGCCGACTTTTTTGACTTGGTCAAACCTGGGCCGGTTAAACGAATTCTCCAACTCGAATGAATGGATGAACTGATGAACTCGAATGGCTGTAGATAAAAGTAGCAATCATTTTGCTGAGATAAAAAATAATCACAGTGAGATGAAATTGGCAAGGACGAGCAAAGCTAACGATGAACGAACGCTCTATTACTATCGCTCGACCATCAGTTGCTCATTTTTCTCGATCTTGGAGGACGAATTGTCCCGAATTCAATATATCATGCCGATGAAATTTGATATGTCATGACATGAACTTGAGTGCACCAATTGATCGATCTATCCGGGCTAAATTTCTCCGAGATCAATCAAATCAGCCATTTTACTTTTCGTTCCGTGCTGTCAAATCCTGTGGGGGTATTTGGTACTTGTCACTCTCGAGCAAGCAGAGATGGAATTGAGTTTGGTGATCACTAAAGTTGATGTTTGAATTGCACATATTCTTGTCGGTTAATTAATATTATTTTTTCCTTCATATCGCATGGGCGAAAGTGATATATGAGATGCATATACACAAATGAACCATTTGATCAAAGATCCATCGGATTCTCTGCATCCATCAGAAACGGACTTCTCACTCACAATCATAGAGTTTACAGTATAATCGATAGCAGAAGATCATAAGCTAGCGGTCAGTTGAGCTGAGCTAATCACCCGTGGTTGATCAAAGCTTAATTAGCTGGTCAGATGCTATACAATTAATGTCGTTTTCATTGCTGAACAGAACATTAGTTACAGTGAGCCAATGGCGGCTGGCTTTTATACATGTACTCCCTCCATTTCAAAATATTTGACACCGTTGACTTTTTTAGTACGTGTTTGACCATTCGTATTATTTAAAAAATTTAAGTAATTATTTATTCTTTTCATATCATTTGATTCATTGTTAAATATACTTTTATGTACACATATATTTCATGTACACATATAGTTTTACATATTTTAAAAAATTTTTAATAAGACGAACGATCAAATATGTGCTAAAAAGTCAACGGTGTCAAACATTTTAAAACAGAGGGAAGTATTAGAACAAGATTTTTTTTTTCAGTAATTTGATCGAGCTGGTGGCGAGTCACCATCGCCACGTCGAAAGCACAAACGCGATCGATCGATCGATTCGAGCTAGCAATGTGTTTTACGTCTCGTTTGCTAATGGCGCTTGTGTTGCTCTCGCCACTTTTAATTACTTCGTGCCCTGACTTTAATTTGTTTATTTGATTCCATGGAGAAATCCTGGGAGCCTAAGCCTACTAGCTAATTAACATGTCTAATTGCTTTCTCTTCTTTTCGTTTGTTCGTTGAGTTGTTACTTCTGGATTCTGGTAGTATGTGTCTACAGATGCAAGCTGGTAGATACATTAATCTGAAACAATCACTGTGCTTTGCTGTAGCTGGATGTGTTTGCATCCAACAGATGTTTGGACAGCTTTGGATGGAGCCTTCAGGAAAAAGAGAGGATCACACCATGGCGATTCGTTGTTGATCCTCTTTCAGTGTCCTACTGTGCTGCCTTTTGTGATGGATACACCTGAAGTGGACAAATTTATCTTAAATAACTTGGCAAAATTTGCAGGAGGCATCATTGTCCTCTTCAACTTGTATGACTGAATGGACTAAGTTACCCCGCTGAACTATATCCAACTGGTATTCCTTCGCTTCTCGAATAATCGACACCGGTATTATTTAAGTTAAAACTTTGACTACCTGTGGACAACTGACCGGTTACAGATCAAGGGATGGCCAAATAATTATTTCTTATAGTTATGTTTCCGGAATCTTAAAACCTATCGTTCAAATGCCTGCTCGAAGCAAATTTGGTTTGGAGTTCTCACATGGTTGTGCCAAGGACACTTCATCCTGAAATAGAATAAGAGTAGAAACCTCTTGAATTGGTGGACATAAGAAACAAGTGACCCAGAAGTAATAAAACAAAAAAAAAAGACTTAGATCTCTCTTATTGCTCATCGCTTGGAAAATCTAGAAGGAATGGAAGAATCTTTAGATAAAAGGAGACGACAGCACCAGATGCTCAATCGTATCTAAAAGGAGTTAGGTTGGTGTGGTATGGCCGGCGCTAAACACATTGGGAGAATGTTGTCATGAGGAGCTAGGAGAGCTACGAGCAAGGTTGTTTTGTACGTAGGCATGTATAATTTTTTCTCTTCTTCTTATATTATAGAAGTGTGTACTAAGACCAAAATGCTATATTCCATTATCTTAAAAAAAAGACCAAAATGCTATATTCCATTATCTTAAAAAAAGACGTGTGTAATGTGTTGCATTATAAATATATAATAATACAACTTTCATTTATGGTAATATAACCATCTGAAAGTAATTAGTGATAGGCGGCCATCGTTAACAGTGTCAGTTAGTTACAGAGGGTTTCTCAAAAAAAGAAAGTTCGCTCAGAGGGAGTACAATTTATACAGGGCCCATTAGCCTGTGAGCTATGGGCTGCAGATTTTACAGTAGCAGAGGCTTTGCATTTTGGTCCATTAACCCGTTCGATAAAGGCCAATTTGATCAGCCTCTCTATACCAACACAAGAGAGGCCCAGCAGCTTTCTCAAAAGTTCTCTGTTTTTTTAGAAACAAATAAAAGGAAAAGGAAAAAGAAAGATGTTGGTACAGAGAGGCTGATGACTAGTTGGTTGCCATACTACAGTACTATAGTTGGAGACTTGAAGTAGTGAAAATGTTACTTCTACTCAGTATTGTAAGATTACACTTGCATACTGAATTACTGAGCCTGATGACTGACAGAAGATCTCGTGCACGCCGCATGATGTTTTTATGTGCAAATACTACTAGAATTACTGAATTTGAAAGTTCAGGTTTGCTGGGTTTCAGAAAAACAAAACAAAAAACAAAATGCAGGTGAAATGTGCGTTGAAAGAGAACAAGGACAAGGGAGGCAAGATGGCATCAGTCCCAAGGCAGGGTGACAATCTGGCAGTGGCAGGAAAGAAAAGCAGCAGCTGTGGTTACAATCACAAGCTTACTGTCTACAGTGTTTCTGCTTGTTTTCATTTTTTTGATGAGACTTTTTGTTGGCTGGTTGGTTGGTTGGTTTGTGCAGGCAAGCAAGCAAAGCTGTCTGTTTGGTTTCTTTCTCACCTTCCTTTCGTCGCTTCTTTTTCTTTCTTGAACACTCTTTTCTTTCATTCAGTGACGAGAAAGAAAGAAGTGAAGTGATGGCGAGGAGGCTAGTGATCGAAGAGATAAAAAAGATACTCCTGGTCGTTTTTTTGCATTGAACCATCTCGTCATCGGCTAATAGAGAGCAAGATGTAGCAGCAAATGCATTTGTTTCATCCATTCATTGTTTGGGTGAAATATACAACAGCAATATATACAGTTGTTGCACAGGATTGGAATGTCAGGCCAGAGAAATTCAAATATTTTGAATCTGCAAACGCCAACATTTATCAAAAACGCGTATTGACACTGTTGTAAATTAACCATGCACCTAACTTCGTCTCCACTTTTACACTCGTTGGCAACTGAACCGGTGTTGCTGTGGCCATTTTCTTGAGCTAATGAACAACTCTGTGCTGCACAGCAGAAAGGTACCCAATGGAAGGACATGCAAGGACTCATTTGCACTGGTACTACACTCCACTGCTCTTCTTGATGCATTTGCTTGCATGATTTTCATTGCATCAATGAATTATGCATGAATGGCCTGACGATGAACTGACGCTGATCATGCATGCATGGTCCTGCTGAGTGATCAGTGGGAGAGAGAGAGGGAGGGGAAAAGGTTGGCGCTGCAGTGCAAGATGCAAGCTGCCATGGAGCCCATCTCTTGCAGGCCTTTTTGCTAAGCTGCCCCCTCTCAGCTCAGCCCTACAGCCAAAAGATGACGAGTACTACGACTACAACTACTACAGCTGCTGCTGATGTTGGTTGTAAGGCTAGTAATGAATATCTTACCAAAGTGACTGAATATTGACTGGAGTATTACTAGCTCTGAATTTTGATTTGACATGGTTTTGAATATCATGGGACACGAACAAATGAAACAAGACACAAACCTGCACTGCTAGTGCTAAGCATGGTGGTACAATTATAATTAACTACGAGTACAGAACTGCTGGATGCATCCATATACTTATGTCTGGATGCAACAAGGGGAGCTGCGTGGGCGTGGCCTAACAAACAATTCGGCAGGCTCTGCTGCATCTGCAAATTCTGCGTGCCACTACGGCAAATATGATACGCTGGCTTTGGTTTTTCAGTGAATCAGCTCACTCTCTCACATCTTCTCCTCACTTCGGCTCAACATGTGTTTTCATTTCATTTAGGAGTACTACAACTATGGAGCTTTCTGCTTGTCTCTTCCCATGTCTTCTTGTACTCCACCTGATGATAGCTCAACCACGCCTGAATCCACAATCCATTGGCGTCTAGCACTTTCATATACTCCTCCACAAACGAATCAAAATCAAATCTTTTTAATTAATTAATTGCTGTTTAGTACTAGTAGTAGAGCAGTAGTAGCAGTGTTGTTTTCTTCATCTATTTCCCACCGGCAAATTGCACTGCAGATTTGCAGAGTAGCAAGCACCACATGACTCACACACACCTTTCTCTTCTTCCACACTACAGTATTCAGCAACTACCTTACCTTACCTTACTGGGGAGGGGACCTTCTTAATTAATTACACAGCATCTACTTTGTGTTTCTTGCTTCCCTAAGAGCAGGTACAATAGCAGGCTATAAGCCAGCTGTAAACATATTATAAAGAGATAAAAGAAAGAGAGAGAAGAGCAGCGGGCTACAGATTTGTAGCCAGCTGTAGCACGAACTCTAAGACGTAATATGTGTATGGCATGTGGGACCGGATATTGATAGTATATATAGTAAGCAACTATTATATGAATTGGCTATTAGATTGACTATAGATGAATTGAAGTTAGCAGTGGACTATACTATTAAACTTGCTCTAATTAATTTCCTACTACAACAGTTTAATTAATATCCTGGTCATCCAAAAGCCCAAACAACACTTCTACTTATACAGTGAAGAGTGAAGAGTACATAACACTTGTGAGGCCCAGCCTAATGCAGTTGTTTGTAGCTGCTGCTGCCTCCTTTTGCTTTCCAACGAGACAGTCAAGAAGACGAAGAGAGGTCTCCATGTCGAGCTTAGCTTTATATACGCACCCGTCGCCATCCACACCCCACCATTTTCATCCTGATTCCTGATTCTTCTTCACACAGAATATATAATTCTGCTTCTTCTTCAGATTGAGAGAGTGAGAGAGAGAGAATTCATGGGCGAGAGCTGCTACGTCAGGAGGCTCTCGGACCTGCTCCAGGAGCAGCAGGAGCCCTTCCTCCTCGCCGGCGGAGCTTCCCTCGCCGACGCATGCAGGCGCCGCCTGCTCGCCTTCTGCCACCGCCGCGCCGCCGTCAGCAACAAGAGCCGCGCATTGGGGGGGCTTGGGCGCCGCCGTCTTCTGTGGCGCCGCCGTCAGGAGGGCTCTCCTCGCCGGCTGCTTCTCCTGCGGCGCCCGCCAGAGCTTCCGCCGGCTGCGCCACGCCGGCGCCGGCGACATTGCTGCTGGCTGCGACGTCGACGACGACGAGGAGGAGGAATGTGCGAGGCAGCTCAGCCCGATGTCCGTACTCGACCTCGATATTAACTCCGACGACGAATCGTCCTCCATGCTCGGCGTCGGCCACCGTAAGCCCTGATCTCTGCTGCTTCGCCATTTCAAGAATTCAATTCTGACTCTGTTTTCTCCATACAGGTGAGAAGGACGACGAGTCGCCGTCGACTTCAGGGAAGAGCTCGCCGCCGCCGCCACCGGAGCAGAATCCGCTCGACGCCGCCGCCGCTCCATGCTTCACCTTCTACGAGGCCGGCAAGAATTGCAAAGCGGAGACAGGAGACGAAGAAGAGTACGAGACGACGAGGTCCAAGCTGGAGGAGCAGATGATCATCTCCTCCTGGGAGAGGATCTCCGGCGACATCTCGAGGATCCCCGCGCTGGTGGAGCTCGACCTCACCGGCTCACTGCAGCAATGGAGGCGGCTCAGGGAGGAGGAAGCATCGCAGGTAGGGGCAAGCATAGAGGCCATGATCTTCGAGGAGATGAGAGTGGAGGCTGTGCGTGACATGATGCTTGTTGCCTGAATCTTTGACACCTCCTGAATGTAAATAAATTCCAATTGGGCACAACATCTTGTTGATGATTCCAACTGTAAAACGAAAAGAAAAAAAACAACTGGATAGGGTTCTTTGATGTGTAACACAAATGAGTTTTTCTTTTCTGTTCTTCAGACAAAAGTAGTTTCTTTTTTTTTCTAGTGCAATTTTTTTCAGTGGTAGGAATTACAGGTCTCCTTTGTGTGTAAAAGTGTTATTGTATCAGGTTGTAGACCTATGTTGTTTGCCTCTGATAAAGTGAAGAAGCTAAATGACAAATCAAATGTACAATACGTGCACTAATATGGAATCCTCTCAAGATTCATAGAGCATTATTAATTCAGGGTACTTATTAATATGTGCACTTGTGTGTTTGGTCTCTGCTGCTGCTACTAGTAGTTAATCTCTTTCATGTGGATACTGGCATGTTAAACAAATGGCAATTGGATTTGAGGTCTGGAGTAACCAATTGGATGTTGGGTATCATGTGCATATATAGTATATACTCCACTCTCCTGCATGTTTCCTTTCTTATGACAGCTACACTTCTTCAGATGCTCGAGGAATACTTGAGCTCTGATTAGATCTGATCATGAAATCTCAGAGCTAGTGACAACATCATACAATCTTAATTAACACTCTAGACTTAACCTGACCCCATCTGCAACTTTCTCTATCTGAATCTGGAACTTTTCCTGCCTGAATCATCTGATTGGTGCTCTGAAATTTCCTGTTTTTCTTATGGAAATGGAGGAGGAGTGGTCCACTTAACTGGGATTCATGATTCATCTCATCAGAGTATAGATTTGGAGCAGCTGGACAATATCAGGCAGGTACTGAGGTGTATACTACATTACAGGCAGAAATCTGCAGCTGCAGTTGGGATCAGATAAATCTGTTTACCATTGACATTTCACAAGAGTCTGAAATATATTCAAAATCTACAAGTCTGAAATCCTTTGACATGTGTGGCTAGCAAGCTGGTGAACTGAATTTGCACTGGTCTGTATATGAACTGCCACATTGAAAAACACTGTTTTTTTCCCATGCATGCATAAACTCCAAATGCAATTTGTCAATAGTGCTCAGAAAAAAATTGCTGGTATGACATGTTTGCCATGAGGACAGTCACTGTATTTGTTAACACCAATTACTGCAGCTTCATTTGCTGATGGCCCTACACCCATCTAACTTTGCATGCTCAGTCATTTAATTTGCAGGTTGTTAGTATCGACCTTACAATCTAATCAGAGATATGGTAATTAACAGTGGGACATGCAGTAATAGATGACTAACTAGTCGATTACTATTGTACTTATATAGGACCACACGTGCACATAGAGCAGAACTACTTGCTATGCAATTAACTAACTTATCTACAAGTATCAGCTACCATAATCAGCTGCAGTTTTTGGATGCAGTTAGCAAACCATGTAGCAACACTTTTCTTTGTAATCAAATATCCCCATGCCACCTTGGACGCTCGATTGATTGATCTCGTCCTGTACCATACACCTGCAAACTCTGCAAAGCTAGCATGATTCCACTCGTATGTTAACACGTTGTTTTGTTTACAAAAATGATAAGCCGACGATCGAGCTGGTGTTTAATCTCCAGCGTCGATGTATTTCAAATCAAAATGTTAATTGTGCATTCCAGGTAAATCCGGCATCCAACAAGGAGTGTATGAAAATGACCTTGACACTCGTTCACGTACTTGTAGTACGCCCAAGTCTTGAACCTTTGATCTATTATAATGGTAGGCTACCACTCTAGTGTCTGTGTCGTACAAGAAAACGATCTCTTTGAAAGGATGAAATCCAAATACTTGAGAGATGTATCCTTTGTACTGCCTATCTTCACCGGCGCTACCATTTTCATCATCAGAGTCGTTCCATTCGAATTCCTCTTCCTTTACTAGTGATTCCTTGTTTTTCTTTTTGGTGTCAATGTTATGCCATATCCATTGCTGGCCACCGTCGTTGAGAGTGTAGCCTGCTGCTAGCACTGGCCCTAGGTCTGCGTCATGCTTGAGCACCCACTCGTGCTCATGATCCATCGTCGTCGTCTCCATGCCACCGCCGTCGCCATTGATGCCACCACAGTATGAATTCGAATAAGAAGAATATGATGATTGATATTCCTTGAGGAACCAAATTTGGAGTCGACATAAACCAATAACCAATGCATAGTACACTCCCTCTTGGGATTTTCCTAAGTAAGGATCGACAGTAATATTTTGATTTCCCACAAAATCGCCAGGCAATTTGATAATCCTATACCTGTGATTTGCAATTGTGATTCTGATGACGCAATTGTTTTGGCAATGCACGTAGAGCGATCCCCGGAAGTAGACGGAGTAGGTGTCAAAGGGTTCCCACCCCGAGCTTGAGCACACCTCATCAATGGTGCCCATGGTGGCGTTCCCTTCCCGGACGAATGATCTCTCCTCCCACCGCCATGTACTCCCCTCTGGCTCTGTCCTCGAGGAGAAGACATGGAGGAGCAATGGCGAAGGCGGCCACTGGCCTGAAACCGTGGCTCGTCGGAGGACGTAGGGCATCAAGAACACCTGGTAGTGCGGCGACATGGCGGGGTCAAAGACGAGGGCGTGGTAGCCGTCGAGGATGATGTCGCTGCCCGGCGACTCTGGCGGGTAAGGGGGAAGGCGCGTCCATTGGCGCGTGGCTGGGTTGACGACATGGTGGTCGAGCAGGATGAGGCCGTTGCAGTGGTCGACTATGGTGAGAAGGGATTTTTCGATTTGATTGGTGTCGAGGTAGTCTAGGTCAAGGACGCCGGGGATGGGTGGCCTCCTCGTCCCCGCCGGCGAGGGGCGGGCGAAGAAGCCGCTCAGAGTTGGCACGCCGATCTGGACGAAGATGCCGCGGAGCGTGCAGGGGAGGAGCGCGGCCGTGGCGAGCAGGGAGCGGTCGTCTATGATGACGCGCCAGGACTGACAGACGCAGCGTGAGGCAGCGAGGCTGCGTCGCGGCAGGTGGCGGAGGACGTCGTCGGGTAAGAGGTGCATGGCCGCTACGGTTGACGCGCGTTAGTCTTGATTGATTGATTTAATAAGAGAGATCATAGATATATGCTATACTAGTACGAGTACGAGTAGTATATACATACGTGGACGTATGTCGTCGGACGAGGGAGGCAGAGCCAGCGAGTCTAAGGCCGATCCGTCTCTCGTTGCTCTCCTGGACCGATTTTTAATATATTTTAATTTTATTAATGCTAATCTACGTCGATTAAAAATACCAGGATTAAAAAGTCCCTTCACTATGGCATTAATTATGGACTGTGCTATGATATGAACAATATTAGAGGCAAAGCAGGAGACCATGTCAAAATGAAACCGAAGACTCTGGCAGTTGCATCATTCAGCAAGGTTACAGAGTTAATTGGGAAAAAGTATTAAAATATTGTTCAAGTACTCCATTGGTTAGTCAAGTACTCCATTGGTTAATTGGAAGGAAAATTAAGTAACCTGGAATTCATTGATCTGAAAACAAGCTTCCACTTCCAAAAAGAAAAAAAATCATTGATCTGAAAGACAGACAAACATCAATGAAGAACCTAAATGTATGCAAATCAATGTTAGAGCTGGCAAACATAACTAACTCTGCTCTGTGTTTAAAGATGGGGTTAATTTGATCCATGCCATTATAAATTTTCATGTTTTAAAATATACCATTATAATTCCGAGAAAACTAAGCGCATACGCGCTGGCGGCGCGCACTTTCTGGCAAGCCACGTCCCACGTGAGGCCCAGGCCTGTGTCCAACGATTATCCGGCATGTGTGCTACCGTGTGAATGGATTGGAGTATATTTCTACTCGCATGAGTTAGTTTTTTCGTGTTTTCTCTTAATCAAGCACGGATGAATTTTTTCACGATCTTTTTAAGTAACAGGTTAAAAAATATATATACGTCAAGTCAAATTTTGAAAATTAACTTTCACCCTATATTTGAAAACTTTCAACGCAGATTTGAAAACTTTCAACTCAAATTTGAAAACTTTTAACACAAAATGGAAAACTTTCAACTCGAAATTTGAATTTTTGAAGTTAAAATTTGAAAACTTTCAATATTTCATCTCAAATTTGAAAAACTTTCAACTCAAATTTAAAATTTTCAATCCAGATTTGAAAGCTTTCAACTCAAATTTGAAAACTTTCAAGTCAAAATTTAAAACTTTCAACTCAAAATTTAAAAACTTTCAACTTAAATTTGAAAACTTTCAACACAAAATTTTAAAACTTTCAATTCAAGATTTGAAAACTTTCAAATTGGCGAAGACATGGAGAAAACACCGTGGCTCGTCGTCCGAGGACGTAGGGCATCAAGAACAACTGGTAGTGCGGCGGCGACACGATGAGGGTCAAAGACGAGGGCGTGATAGCCGTCGAGGATGATTTCGCTGCCCGGCGGCGACGACTCCGGCGGCGAGTAAGGGAGAAGGCGCGTCCATTGGCGGGTGGCTGGGTTGACGACGTGGTGGTCGAGCAGGATGAGGCCGTTGCAGTGGTCGATTATGGTGAGAAGGGATTTTTCGATTTCGTCGGTGTCGAGGTAGTCCAGGTGGAGGGCGCCGGGGATGGGTGGCCTCGTCGTCTTCGTCCCTGCCGACGGCGAGGGGCGGGCGAAGAAGCCGCTGAGAGTTGGCACGCCGATCTGGACAAAGATGCCGCGGAGCGTGCAGGGGAGGAGCGCAGCCGCGGTGGGACCAAGAATCTGTGTTGACGAGAAAATAGAACACACCGGCCTGGGAGATCTGTTTAGCTCCTGTGCAGGTCCAAATCTTGATTAGATGCGAGCGTGCCAGACAGTTTGATCCTGCAACTGACAAGATATGCAAATAGTAGATCCAAACAGCCGATCGGCTGACAAGCCGATGGAGTAGTTCCAGCCGATAGCCGATAATAGCCGATGCTAATACCAGCCGATAGCGATAGGATTTAAGCAATCGGCTATATGTCCAACGTAGATAATGATATGAAGGCAATCGGCTGATGAAGATGTAATAAAATAACAATAATATAATCCGATAGAAACCAATCGGCTAGAAACAATATATAATAAGCACTGATCTGAAGGTTAAAGCATACATCGGCTGGAGGTTGTCACGCCCCGAACTAGTACCGACCGGAACTAGCCCGTGACGCTCCAATTTAACCTGTTAATCGATACCAGTCAAAGGAAACAGTGCTGGTATCACAGGGAGACAGAATATCACATCAACAGGGGTCTCTTTATTATAGAGTAGAGGTACAGTCATGTTGGGCTGCGGACAGATCCCGAGCTCACAACTGCATTACAAAAGGGAAACGGAAGCCAGGATTTGGACCAATCAACACATGCGCGACTTGGGAACTAGGCCGAAACCCTAAAACTCATCGTAGCCGGCTTGCTCCTGGAAGAACTCCTCATCAGCAGGATCCGCTTCATCTTCTTCAGCAACTGGGGGGGATTATTTATATAGAGCAAGGGTGAGTACGGGAGTACTCAGCAAGCCAGGGAAATAAGTGTTTAATGCAGGCTTCAAGGAAAGGCGGCTGTTTTTGCAATTGATTTTATTTGAACTCTTTTCTAAAAACAACTAGGTGAGTGCTTCTCAAACGACACGGATGAGACAGTGCATCTCGTCCGGTCGGAGTATGTGCAATGTATTAGTCTTTAGAATTGAAACAAGATTGGCACCCGGCCAACAGCTTTTCAAACGGCCACCCGGGCCAACGACTTTACAAACGGCCACCCGGGCCTAGCTGATCCCGTCAGCTGCTGATTTTTCAAACATCGAACCCCTTTTTCATAACAGCAATTTCACAAGCAGTAGTCAAACAAAACTACGCTAGGAATCACCTCACATCCGCCCATGACCGTGGGCACGGCTGTTCGAACAGTTTGTTAACCTCTGCAGAGGGGGTACACTTTACCCACACGACATTACTAACCCGGATCACCCAGCCCGTGGGGATCAGCCACGTCGGGAGACCTCCAAGCTTTCATGACAAGGCATTTCCAAAGCCGACACAGGTTTACCATATGCCGACGAGAGGGGTCCCAGACCAACAACAGGTTAGGTCCCAGACCATACTGTGCCAGGAAGCCCAGGGGGTCCTCTTCGACACCACCCCGGCGAATCCACATGTCTCTCGGCATCATGGCTCCCCTGATAAGCTAGTTACTCAGCCAGGGGTGTCCCATTCCACCCATGTGGTCGTACTTGTCTTATGTTCGGATGAAATTCCAAGGAAACGGTCCTTAAGTGCAAGAGCGGGAAAACCGTACCCCCGGTACGTTCCCCGATCCGTGGTTTTGGAAATTCATTTAGTTCGCAAGCACCGACCCAGGTGTCGGGTTTTCCAAGTCTTTTGTAAAACTCCAGTTTTACCCAAGTTGTTACTCAGATTTTTAAGTTTGAAGGCGACCGTCGATACTCGCACAGAGTGCACGAATATCGAGGCGCAACTGGGTGGTTACAAGGGGACATAGTATAGCAATTAACAATGGAAGGATCAAATGCAACAAGTCAGGTAGGTCCGCCAATCTGCCTTGCAGACGGGATAAAAGATTAAGTGCGATCCTATCAATGCATAATATTTTGCAAGCAATATAATTAAATTTCAAATATAGGCTCAAGATGTTCGGGTGGCTTGCCTTGCTCGAGATCTGGAGCTTGATCCTCGAAATCCTCGCGCTACGGGTCTTCGGGCTCCGAAACTACACGCGAAACGGGACAACTCAACAAACGGCGAAAATAAAGCCCTATTAATGACCTCTAAGCGTGCCATTAGATAGATCTCGAGATTTGAGGAATTTTGGAAGTTGAACGGAGTCAAACGGATTTACGGTTGGGAAGATATTGAATTTCTAAGATTATTGGATTTTTGGTCTAAATGAAAAGGATTTAATTAAATCCTTTTTGGAAAAGAAAAAGAAAAGAAAAGAGGGGGGGGATTATAGACTTTTCCTCGGGCGGCTAAGGCGCGGCCCAAGGGAATTGGAGCGGACCGGCCGATCTTAACGGGCCGGCCGGCCCAAGAAGGCAGCCCAGAGCGGCCCAAGACGCGCGCGCGCGGAGGAAGGAGAGAGAGTCCGGTGGACCGGGCTCACTACGCGCGGTCCCGGGTGGGACCCGCTTGTCAGTGGCTTGGCTCGCCGTGCGGAGGGAGCACGCGGCGCACGCGCGCGGGCGGGGGAAGGACGCGGTGCACGCGCGCGGCTCGCGGTGGACGCGGATGCGGCGGGCCCACGCGCAGCCTCACGGCTCGCGGTGGAACGCGCGCACGGGGAGGGACTGACCGGGGTTGGCCCATCCCGACCTCGGCTGAGCTGGCGCCGACGTGGCGCCTACGTGGCTGCCACGTGGGCTGGCGGGAGGTAGACGACGACCCGGCCGCGAATGGACGGCGGGCGGCGGCGGCGAGCGACGGAGCGAACCACGGCGATACGGGCAAAAGCGAGCACACCGGGCTTTTGTTCGTGATGAGGGGAGACGAGCCAACGGCTCGGATTCGCCGGAGGGAGCTTGACGGCGGCGAATCGTGGCGGCGACAACCGGCGGGGAGGGAAGAGGGAAATGGCGACGAGGCCACGAGGGGTCGATTCCCGGCGGTGAGAGCATCTACGCGGCTTCGGGAACTCGACGCTAGCGTCGGATTGGACGGAGCTACGCCGAGCGAGGCTGGCGACGTGCGGGTGCTACGGAGCTCGAGCGGCGACGGCGGCGAGCACACAGCGAGCGACGGCAACGCTCGGGGCGGCGCCGGCTAACTACGGGGAGGCTACTCGAGCTACTACCGAAATCTAAGGGGGGAGATGGAGCGAGGAGGAAGAACGGAGGGAGGCACTACCGTGCAGGACGGGGCGCTGTGACGAGAGGCCGACGGCGCGGGAGTAATCTCTCCGGCCTCGGGCCGGGGAAGAGGAAGAAGAGGGCGCGCTCGGAGTCCCCTTCCGCGTCCTAGTGTGCACCGGCTCCTCCGGCACACACGCGACGACGAACGGCGACGGCGAACAGGG